TAATAGTAAAATTTATTTATGAATTTTATTTCCATATAAATTATTAACTACTCTATAATACTTCTAAGCAAATATGTATACTGTATAGCTTCTGTGCTATTTCCCCAATGTATGTAATTTGAGAGGTGTAACACAAAACCGCGAAAGCGAACCGGGAACAAAACGAAATGAAAGTGGAACTCACTTTTAGTTTCAGCTTTGATGCTATACTAACTACATTTTTAGTTCTCCGGAACTAACCAAATCCAGCGAGATTCGTTTTACACTAGAATTCGCTTCGTGTTCGGTTCTGTTTCGTGGCACTGTGTTACCTGACCTAAACAGTCGGGGTAGGTAAACCGTTAGTTTTCAGTAATTTTTGTCAGTAAACTTTTAGAACTAAACAGAGAACGGCATACTAAATTTAATGATATAGTTATACATGTCACCGACCGATTGTGAATACCACCCTTTTGTAATTTGCCGAAATAAATTTGTTAAGAGTCGGCATTTCGCGTATCTAACGAATTTATTCAAAAAGTAACGAGTACTATTTCGACGCCTTGTAAAAGATTCATAATTCTCGATTCGATATGAGCCTTTATTTGTTTAAATTGTTATACCGCAACAATTCATTGATAGTTGCATTGTCATTCGCCCGTACCAACCTTTCGGCTGCACAATAATAACAGCTTATAAAGGCTTGTGGGATCTCAATTTAAACCAATTTAAATCGGATCGTTTATGATGAAATTTTACGGTATGTCGAAATATATAAGTCACTTTGCGAATGAATTTGTTGTATATGTAATTTGCCATTCTTTCAGCCACTTCGTACAAGGCGACTAGAATCTTCAAAACTAATAGTATAACGTACCGAACCGTTGCAAAAGTAAACCGGAATCGAACCGAAGTGCGAGTCATGAAAGTGAATGTTGAAAGAAGAGTCTGCTCCACATCACTGTGGAATCCCACCACGTGACATTTGTATTGACAAATATTGTTGTCTCTGTTATTTCAAAGATAATGTGAAGGATGACAATATATGTCAATGCGGTCGAAACCCATTCAGATTTTCATTGTGAGCCTATCTGATAAATTCTTTACTGAAAAAGAACCAAATCAATTCTAGATATATGGACAAAATTTGGTTTCGCTGCGGTTCCGTTTTCGCTTTCGTGGCTGTGAGGTAAATGATAAACTAATTTAACGTTCAGTACCCCGACTGTACCTCCAAACACGAAGGTAGAACCACACAGTTAACTAGTGATAGTATAATATAGCTGGTTCCTTACATTGCATTTGCGTAGCATAAATACATACAAAATAAATATTTGTATGTTTGTTCTGAATGTGCTCTATACCAATTATCGCAACACGTAAACCACTATCAAGTGCGGCAACCGAGTATCCTAGCAAGTAGCAGGAATAGAAGCCAATATGGTCTAGGCGATAAGCAAGTCGCTTGCCAGTGTGGACGTACCCTTAATAGGATACATAGAAGACAAACATACATGTATTGATTTTTTATTTACATAGGTTACGAAAGAAGATCACATATCCCAAACACCTCGGTATTACATCAATACAATACTATTCAAATAGCTGGGCCGAATTAAATTCTGTCAAACAATGACAGCTGTCAATTGACTTTGACAGTTGCAGCCCGAGCCGTCGCTTCTCTACAATGTTGCGCGTAAAGTAAAAAATCACGACCGAATTCGCCTTCATCGTTTTCCTTTTTTATAAAAATACAAAAATACAAAATGGGACAGTGCGACAACACACAAACACACATCACCGCAAGGAGTGGAGGGGAGGGGGGGGGTAAGAAGAGTTCTGTGCTGGTTCTAATTTTGTTTGGAGCTATACCTCTCGTATAATCCACTAGTACGCAAAATCCTGTATTACCATGCCACTGTCGCAACACTTATATTAAAATTGTTCTTTTTTTAAAAAGATTAACGATTCTATACAAGTGTTCCGACAGTGGAGACATAGGTATACGTATAAAATTTTCCCTATGTATGTATTCTTAATGTATCATATTAATAAACTATTTAAAAAATCTTAATATCTTTTATTTCAATTCGTTCATTTATAAAAAAAACAATACGAAAATATTGTTACAAACATGTAAAGCATCTGTGTAAGAATTAAAAAGCTAAACACGTCACAAAGATTTTGGGGTAAAGAGGATGTAGAGGTTAGCGACATCCGCAGCCTCTACGCCGGCGACGCCTCCTACACCGACGGCGAATCCGTCTTCGTCGCCGTCTGCAACTTCTTCGCCGTCTGCGTCTCCTGCACCCGCACGCCTCTCGTGCTTTCCAATTTAAATAATTGGAACCTTTTCTCTCTAGAAACCCTAAAGATACTCCATTTTCCAAGATTTTCTCCACAGTTTGGTTTAGTTCATCACTGCTTAATTTGTTATAATTTGTTCGTAAAAAACGCACAATTTCCGCAGAGGTAGCACCTTCCTTGACATCGTGCAGGTACTTAAGTATCAACCTACCCGGTGGGTTTGGAGGCGCCGTGGCCTCCGCGGCTTCTTCAGTCGTCATTTTTATACGGAATTAAGATTTTCTAATGCATGACTCCAAATTTCCACTTTTAAAATGTGATACATCTAAATTATAAAACTTGAGTTTTGATTTGACATAGCAAATTGAATGAAATTTGATAGAAACAACTGCTCTTCTATTTTTGATATTATGTCACATTATTCTTAAAATTACACTCAAAATGACAATAGATTTTGTTGGTTTGCATATTAATATAACATAAAGTTTTAACATTGTCATGCTAAAAAAGACAATATTACAAAAGTAAAATGTAATAAATATGAACCTTGAAAAATATTTAAAACTATCTTAAAATTCAATAACTTGGCAGCATGAAAAGTATTATAGAATATTTATAAAACAAATAAAAGCTATCAAAATTGTCACTGTCATTTTCCGAAATTAAGATTTTTTTTATTCTGACTAATGTAAATAGAATTTTGTTATAAGTATTCAAATTAGATATGTCCGGATCAAATAATACCCAAGAGCAAAATACTAACACATCAAAAATAGTTATAAGCGCATTCTATAAGATCGTGGACAGCAATGGAGCGACCGCTGAAGACGTGACCAAATACCTACAACAAAAGTTCGGTGACGTTTGGAAAGAAAATGTTCTAACAACCAAAGCCGAGGAAACATTAGAATCAAGCGCTGCGCTAGGGTTTCTAGATAAACGCGGCAAAAGGTACATAGATAAGCTAGCCCGTGACCTTTGCCGCTGCAAACGGAGATACTGTGGCCGAAGAAAGCTTTGTTCCAGCGAAAGACAAGTCCAACGTCGGCGGCGACGGACATATTACTCATAAAATGTTGCTATAAATCTCGTGTGGATGTAAAAATTTTAGTACGGATCTTAACCGTGAAAATCAATTGCCGACACTTTTTAAAAAACATATCTCTTAAGTTTGATAAGGCTTTCACATATTTGCTCGTGATGCTTGCAAGAAAGCTAATCTTCCTAGTTCAGTTATTTTAAAATTCTTCAACCTAAATGTACACCACTTGTGAACAAAACTTGATGCTAGTGGTTATTTTGTTGTTCAACGCATGACATGTATTAAATTGCACAAATTAGTGAAGTCAAATGTTTTTTTAATTAATATTTAAAAACCGTTAATAATTTACAGTACAAATACAGCAATAAACGTATAAACCAGTGAATGGGTAAAGGAAGAAAAAAATTAAACAGTATAACTAAGTAAAAACATCAATATTGTCCAAAAAAGTAAATTTCGAAAAATTTTGTTGCATCACGGTAACAATAAACTTTTTTTAGGGTTCCGTAACACAGGAAAAGAGCGGAACCCTTGTAGGATCACTTTGTTGTCTGTCCGTCTGTCTGTCAAGACATTTTTTTTTAATATTACTATTCACACATAATAATATATGTAAGAAGTCTGCGAAAAAAAGTATGCTTCTATGATAATGCCATTATTTATTCAGAAGTGGATTGAAAAGGATCATAACGAAAAGAAACAGTATATATCCAGTAACCAACTATTTATTTAAGTGAAATATTTACAAGTAGTTAATTCACAGATTTAAGAAATGTTACATATCATGAAAAATACAAAGTTAACTACTCGTACGGCTCTAATATTTCATGTGACAGTAAATGTTATTCTGACAGTTAAAAAACTTTAAGGTTGCAAGAGATGTATGTATAATTGACACCAAAATTCAGTAAAATTATTGGGCCTAAAAAAATAAAAATGTCGACCCCCCACAGTGACAAGAACAGACCAGACCTCTGAACCTGAAGTCTTTCTCGGCGTGTCTAAGATAGATTAATTTGACAACTGAAGCCTATGAAGTATCGAATTAATTTTGTATGTTGTACTCAATTGACGGTTGTCATAGTGTCGACCGTCGCTCACGACGAACCTTGAACTATCAAGTATCAACCTTGTCATAAAATTAATCGAACAAATGAGTACTATATATATTTATAACATTTTGGAATTCATTACAGTTATAAATAAAAATAAACTACAATCCATTTTTGTCGAAAACACAGTTTTTAGTTTTGTGTTTTATTTCTTTATGTAGACACTGATCGGTATAGATTGATAGGTCATTGAAATGCAAGCTTTTTTTATTCGGACTTGCACGTACCTGTGTACCATGTTAGTATACTTACCACCGCTACCAACCGTAACTATCAGCGCCAAAATGAAATAGACACAAAATAATGCGGCTTATAGCCTGTCCATTAATAGCGGTTAGTAATTCAAGGTCAAGTTGTGAGGCAAAAGAAGCACAACAACAAACGCGCTACGAGAGAAAATATACATCACTCGCTTGCACAAGATGGCGGCGATTTGTGTCTGTGGTCTCAGATAAGCGTATCGCATTATAAAGGGGACAGGACTATGGGCCAAGTCGACCGATAAATGTGAAAAACAATTGCAACCTTAAAAAAAATTAGATTAAAAAAAAAAACTCAAATGACATTAAATCTGTATTACTTTTAACAATTACTACACTAAAAAAAATATGTAAAGAATGACATTTCATTTCATACACTTAGTTATTTTTATAGAGCGTGTGTTTTACAAAATTACAACACAGGCCATTAAACCATTAATAATAACGATTCTAAAACAAATCTTTTCATATATTAATAATACTCTAACATCAAAAGATACTAGAAGTGTCTTGTTTATTATATTACTTACAGTGCACACAACAACACTATGATACACTTGATACAATTATATAAATTAATACAAATATTAACAAAACTTAAGTTCAAATTCCTGGACATCGTAATCTAATTTAGAAATAAATTAGCCAAAAAGGCGAACATACTTGTGGCACCCGTTAAAATAAAAATACATTTCATAAATCGATCACCATTACAAAAGGACCGATAAAAATAAACACACTTGACTTAATATAAAAAACTTATTAATGCCTTTTTCACTAACATTTGTGTGAAATCCAACTAGGAAGCTAAAAATATAAAGCTAAAGTTGGTTTCATCGGGAACTTTATTATTGCTCAATTTATATATGAAATAACGAACACAATGAAATAATGTAATAACGATGTTTAAAGTAACAGCTTTTATGGTTAGTTTCTGAGACGAAATTCCTTGTATTAAACATATCGTCATGCCTCTCAATATCTTTGACAACACTGAGATATCAAAGTTTTATACATGGATTTTGGTCTCAGAAACGAACGAATAATTTCACTGTTTACAATTATTAGTTATTGTATGTGCAATGCAAGATTGAAACTAAAATCTACACATTTAGATGAATCAAGTCTTGTCTAGAACACTTAACACTAACATTGAACATTTATATGAATTACAGCTAAAAACAGTTGCAAAGGATAATGCATAGTTAAACGATTCAGTTATTTGTTGAATTTACATAGGCTCAAATATTTCCTATTTAGTTTTATTATTGATCTTTGTGGTGACTAGTATCAATTAATATTAAATTAAATTCAATAAAAATTTAATGGACACCTAATACACTTAACATTAACGCATGCAGTGTTTAAAACATAAAGAGGTTACATAATATCTTAGTTATGTTGTAACATAAAAGTATAGGTTGACGTTTAAATTGTTTGTCAACAAATTCATGTCTTGTTATTATCATGTTTAGGTCTACCACCATCTCTAACCACAAATATATACATTTCCACATAAAATGTTTGAATATCCATAAAAATTTATGTTATGTTAAAATTTATATTTTTCTAATCGACACTGGTACACCTATAATAGTTTATACAGCATGTTTATCTGACGAAGCGACGCACGCTTTACTTGTGGTAACCAAGTTTACAACACGCTGTGAATGTGTGAAGTAGACATGAAGCAAATCCTAATTATCTTTACTTAATATTATAAATGCGAAAGTAACTATATTTCGCTTTCACACCAAAACTACTGAAACGATTTAAATGGAATTTGGTACAGATAGACTTAGGCCTTTTTAACGGAAAAAGTATTTTCACTTTCACAATTAGAAGATTGAAATATTTTACGCTGTTAATTTGATATAGATATATGACATTCAATGATTATTATATACATTTTACCCTCAATGGTGCAAAATAACCATTAGGGAATGAAAGTTCTTTATAGAATATGTTTGGTTTCTTAAATAATTAGAATAAATAATTAAAATGCTACGAATCATAGCATTTGAAACGAACGAGGTCGCGGGCACAGCTAGTTTGTGAATATTTAGAAAACAATGGAGTGATAATTACAAATTTACAGATGACTCGAATTATTCTGATTCATCTTATTTACCACCACCACTAGTAAAATGCCCGTCACATCATTAGATAAAAACAATCATAAAGTAAAATAATATCCCAATAATGAAGCAATATAAATTCATTGCTAGAATAAATAAATATATAGTTAAAATCTAAATTAAAAAAATTATAATTCTAATGCAACTTTGAGTTAAAAAGGTGGACGAATTAATAGCAACATATAAAGTAATGCGGAGGGAGGCTGCGCTGCGCAGCTCAAACAAAGAGATTGCAGCACTCTATACCAAAATCATCTTAGACAAGTAATATTAAAAAAAATACATAATTCCGTCGTGTTTACAGCATTATCTGTTGAAAGCTCGAGATGTCGAACACATTGGATACCATTGATATCATTTAGGCAGTATCAATATCGCCAACATTGATCCGGTCCTCAGCAGCCGTTACGGAGAAACCGAGAATACGCGAATCCACTTTCAGCATCTTGTTCTTCTTCGCCTTTTTACCCTTGCTCTGTAATCAATTAAATTGTTTAATTTCAATTCAATTCATAAACTAAACAGAGAAAAGATAATTTCCATCCGCAGTCTATTATATAAAAGTCAATTGCTATTCGTTAATCTCGCTAAAACTCGAGAACGGCTAAACAGATTTATCTTATCTTGGTCTTGAAATGTTAGTGTAGGTCTAGGGAAGGTTTAAAATGTAGGAAAAATTCGAATAAATGCTGGGAAAACCATCATATGAACGGCTATATTGATCTCGCAGAAACTTGGCATAGATGTAGAACATAGTCTGGAAGAACATATAGGCTAATAATTATGTATTTTTTGATTACGCGCGTACGAAGTCGCGGGCGACAGCTAGTACTATATTATTATTTATTATTGAGTATTGTGTACATACCTTTACTTCTTGGTAACCCAAATTCAGCGACATGCGAGGGTTAATAGCTACTGCCGGGGAGCAAAGATCATCTGAAGGTGTCACCGTGCCCACACGCATTAATTTAGACCTGCAGAAATAAGTTTATCGGATGATATAGGTAGTCTATATGCATTTTTATACTTTGGGTTTTTTTTATATACTGACCTTTTTTCCAAAAACAGACGAGCGAAATCATTGGCATCTTTGGTCTCTCCCAAGTAGAATTTGACATAATCTTTAACATCGTATGGTGACTCGATGTCTTTAAGGAAGCTGACAAAGGTCGTCACTGGAAAATAATGAGTTATGTAGACTAAAAAGCAAGTTTTTGTACGCTTACCCCTCATGGTATTATAAATAATTCAATAGATCTGAGTGAAAGTTAAGGTGTTCCTTTGCTAGATTAAGTTTGAACAGTCAATCAAAAATTTGTAACGTTTCTTATTACTTACCATCTATGTTTTTGTCCCACACCATGAGGACATTTTTGCACCAGGAATCGAACTCCAGGACAGCGGGCGACACCTCCTTCGGTGCGTTAACTGAAATTGCAGTTTTGTTCTTGATAGGTATGTTTGCCTCTTCCACTTTCTGCGACTCTTGTGGTTTATCAGTGGCCTTTCCGTTTTTATGTTGTGCGTCCCAGAAACCGATAGGAGCTGAAATGAAAAGTTCATTATTTTTATTCGTACTATCGCGTGTTTTGTCAGATGATTCAATTGACCGCTAACCGTGGCGGCAAACGACCCTTTCTTGTGGCACCCTCACTTAAAACTCACCAGGAGGATCGCTTTTGCTGGATGAGGCCCATGGGGTGTTAGGAATGGGTGGGAGAAGTGTTTCAGCATCGTCCAAGACGTGGGCCATCGCAGCAGCTGATGACTCCGCCGCTGCTTGCATGCGAGCCTCAGCCTACGACATAGCATCGACTTTTAAACATAACAAAGATGACAATGAATTGCTACACTTTTATGTAACTTCGAATTTTAACATTTTACAAATATTAATCATTTACCATAAATTTTAAATAATTTTTACGAGTTTCATAAGACGTAGTAATAGTATAACATAAAATATATAACAAATGTCAAAACTGAAAAAGGGGCAGTATAGTGTCCTAAAGGATGAGTAACCTAATAGAATAAAAGGATTTTACCTGAAAGATAATTTTGTAAAACTTTGTATGTTAATTTGTATGAAAGGCTATTTTTATTATTTCTTTAAATAAATTATATTTAAGCTTACCTGTATTTCACTGAGAAGGGGAATCATATTAGGAGGAGGCCGCGTCTTAGCCCAATGGAGTCGAGCTTGCATTATCTATCAATATTAAAATTACTTATATACCATTTACTAACAACCTTTACATACATGTAAGAAGGAATATTACATAATGAGACTCAAACTAGTTTCTATGATGTAGAACTTTTTGGTCAAAATTGTAAAATACCCTAAGATCTATATTAAAATTTATTATTAACAGCTACTTATATATTTTAAAAAATGACCGTAAAATGTTGTCACATGGTCCGATATTTATCTTAACAATTGTTACAACTAACTACCAAGTATATGAAATCTAGTTAAACAATTGCATGAATAAGTTAAATAAAAACACATTACCTTTTCCCTAGCGAGGGTCTCTGCCTGTTGTGACGCGATGATTTGGATCATCCGCTGCTGCATCTTAATTTCTTCTATTTTCTTCTCTCGCTCGAGACGCTGTATATTGGACAGGTTCATGCTGTAGTTGTTAGCAGATTGCGCCTGCGCAGATAACGCATCCGACCACGGGGTCTTCCTAGCTAATTGTACAGTTTCAACTGCCAGCTGCTCAGGCTATAACACACAAGTACTAGATTACATAGAATATTATTATCATCGCCCTGTTTTTTACCCACTGGTGTGTGTTCGGTGGATTCGGTGCACAAAGTTGACGACCACCAGATCAAACTTTCTCTCTTTTCAGGCATTACTTCGCTTTTAATCAATACATCTTTCATGCAAACAAATCCATATCTTCTTACGCATATCCTTATATTACATAGAATATTAACGGTGTTTCATTAGTACGACACTTTTCGTTGACTGCATGAAGTGCATATTCTATTGGGATGACACGTCGTGTAGTTACACAGCAAAACAAGAAACAATATTCTTAAAAAAACTATTATAATAGATCATACATTTTACATCCATACAACTAAGTATATGTTAGATGTAGATGTATTACATGTATTAATTTAATTAGCCTGTACGATTTCAAATATTCCATTTAACACTTCTTAATTCTAAAATAGACAATTTATAAAAGAATTATTTCTTAAGGCTATATATTATACATTTTAACAAAATTACACAAACGTACAGTGTATATTTATATCAATCACAACATATATATATTCTTCTTTCTTCAAGTAATAATAATTAAGAACGATAATATACCAAACAGTTTTTAAGTATTCCATAATCCAAATATAATCCGATCATACATTTACGAACGAAAAGATAACCCAAAGGGTGTGTCAATTTGCGAACCGTTATATCATATTTTTAGAATAAAATGCATTTCAATATTTATTTATCTTACCGTATAAGAAATCATAAAATTAAAGAAATAAACAATCGAATGTGCTGATCATTCTAACATACATACATGCAACAAACAGCTATCATACTTACATTCAGTGCGATACAATGCTACTATGCCACTATTGGATACCATGCGATAACATGCAAAGCAGAGCAATACAACGCCATGCGATGGCTCAAAGTATTTTATTAAATTTCGCTATTCATTTCCCTTAATCTACCAAATATTGATTAAAACCTATAACTGTTAGTATCTTTAGCCAAGTTTATTCAAAACGCATTTCTATTTAATGTTAATTCATCTAATTATCAGTAATGCACTCATCAATAATCTGTCACCGCGGTGAAATAAATCCTTTATGCTTTGGTACCAAACAAAACTCTTAGCATACAAGACAAAAATGTTTGCAAAGGTCAAGACGATTTAAAAAACTGAAAAACCGTGGTTTTAGATGTAGCCAAGCCTCTCTTTTATGTTAATTATCAACTGGCTAATGGTGTAGCACTCCTTGTAGATTTACAAATACCTGTTGTTTTTTGTCATTCGTCGTTTTCTCGACAATCTTTTTCCCTTTTTTCTCTTCGACGGCAACTTCTTTCCTGTAGTAATACTCCATATTAAAATAAGTTGTTTAAATTATTACAATTTAATTTATTTCATTACTTTAAGCTATTACAACTAAAAGCGTTTACCCGAGTGTTGTAAACCCTGTTGTTATGTGTACTCTTCCAAGTCTAAAAATTAAGTTTTAATATAGCAAAAAATATACTAATTTACCTATTGCTATCTGCATCAGAACCTTTTGCGTTTTCTTTTTTCTTGGATTCCTTAGAAACCCCCCTATCGTTTCCCTTCACTTCTTCTTTTGTCCCTTCCTTAACATCCTAAGGCATAAAAACGTTAGTACATCTCATAAAATCTGGCAGAGTTGGAGACGATATCCCAAAACTTAATTAAAATTTATTCTATTCTTAATAAGGATTCTACGTAAAGCTGATACAAGACTCTCAATTATTCCAACACTTACAACAGCAACAAAGCAAATCTACACTTACAAATTAACAAAGAAATAAACAGTAAGAGTACCTTTCCTTCTTTTTCTACTTCTTTCTTGCTTTGTTTCTCTTCTTTCTTGGTTTTGGAGGACGTGGTTTCATCCGATTTTTTAACCTAAAATGCAAAAGCTATGTATTACTAAATATTGTGACTATTAAAAATATAAAGATATTAATTAATAATAACATTATCAAACCTATCTATCCCAGTACACATACCTCCGTTTTAACAATATCTTCTTTGGTCTTCGGTTCAACCACTTCTTCCTTTTTTCCCACTTTTGTCTTTTTATTCTTACCCTTTGTTGTTTTGCCTTTTACCGATTTATCATTCTCTGGTTTAGGACTCTTAACTACTTTTGTTTCGACCGCGGGTTTGCTATTATTTTGCCGATCTTGCTTGCCGTTACTACTATCAGTGGATGGTTCCTCCTCTTTTAAAACTTGATCACCCTTTACCTAATATATAAATCGTTTAAATAAAAAATAAACCTATCTATACTTACCTATGAAAATAAAAATAGGTAGTAAACAATAAAATGGCTAAAAAAATCAAATAAAAACATTTCACCTCTGATTCCTCATTTTCCTCTGTACTTTTACTGGAGGAAGACGCCACAGTCACAAGCCATTTTATTTGTAACAGATTTTGGATTTCCTCCAAGTTGGGCGTCGTCCTCTCATGTATGAGAGGGAAAACTTCTGACTGTGAGTCACTGCTTGTTGTTGAAACAGAGGATTGATTGTTTCCTAACGGCATTAACTGTACCGGCACTTGATCTTCAGATTTCACATCCTTGTCTATTTTCTCGGGCAATATAGATTTAGAGGTTAAGGCGGAGGGCTGTAAATATTGTTTTATCGATCATTTTTAATGTATTTGTATTTGATGTAGTTAATGTATTTATGTGCATATGTATAAATTCTAATTCCTGATTCTCCTTTGCAAAAAAGCTGTGTACATGTAACGGCCACCGAAGCGTTAATTCTACACTTAAACGAAAAAAAAAATCGTAACCTAAAAAGAATAAATACCGATAAAATGTGCTATTTTTGTATTTGAATTACGACATAATATGACCGTCTAGAAACACTATTTTATATGGTGTATAAATTAGAGCGCACTATCAAAGTTAGACTTGCTACAGAAGCAACTCGTATATCTAAAAACATTTATTGATCACATCAGCATAGCAAACATATATTAATCATTAGTTGCGTGACATAGCTAAGTACTAGAGTTAATAAATTGTGAAGCGCAGTGTACTTATGATACGAAATGGAATATAGACACTGCAACCAGCAATAGCAATACACAAATACACAGACGACAAAAAAAATAAACAACTACAAGTGTAATTAGAATATTAAAATAATTTCTTATATTTAAATAATGTGAACGGTGTTATTACGTAGAATTTTAAGTAAAGATCAAAATTTAATCGACCTTCAAAACAACGTAAAACCGTAAATTATTTTAGTAATACCTAAAATATTTAGTTTATATCCTATGTAACCGTTAGATGCATCTAAGGCTGAAGCCACAAATGTAATAACGTTGATTTTTAAATAATCTAAGTCTTTATTCGACGCTACTTTTAAATAAAAACTATGAATAAAAATATTAATTGGTAAACGTCACCTCAACGTTGTCCTCAAGTTTAATAATCTGAGTTGGTTCTAGAGTAACTAGCCATTTCTCTTTTAATATTTTTTGAATCTCCCCTAAATTTGGAATCAACCTCTCGAGAAAGTTGGGGTTAATTACGGACTTTGGATCGCTCGTAACCGTACATTCTTTGCTTGCCGATAACATTTTTTGTAAAGTGTTAACGTTTTGTGATGCCCTGGGCTGCGCTGCTATTTGGTCTTCAGGTTTTATTTTCTTATCAGATTTCTCGGGCAATAGAGATTTAGAAGTTAGAGTGGAAGGCTGCAAATATTTTACGCGATCAATTCACAAGAAAATATTTCTATTTTTATCTAAACATATTTATTGCCATATCCATTATGATTCTTCTTCTAAGTCTTGCTCATCCATGTTATTAGCTATTGTTCAATTTCTTAAACTTGTGGGTTTTTGTAGCGAAGATTTATGCAGTGATGATAGGACCAAACGCGAAGAATCGCGTCTGTGATTATTTTTAGTAACCGCAGAAGTGATACTGCGCATATTGGCAACATTTTGCAGCAAACGATGAGCTTGACACGTAGGCATTATCTACTTCTTGTCAGTTTGTGATATTGTTCTTACTTCCATCTTTTATATATTTATCGCGATAAATCCAACGTAGAACAGTGATAGCTCAAACAAAATTCTTCTACGCTACGTGATGAAATTATGTAATTCGAGTGATTTGGCAGTAGACTAATGCGACTACGCAACGCAACATTGAAACAACATACGCATGCATTAGTAATTATAAAACGAAACTACAATTTCTAAACAATAATTATACCATCATGTGTCTATCTAAAAATGTACAACATCTTAGTAAGTTCTAAGTCGTAGTAACAACGTAAAATGACAGTTAGTCATTACATTTATAGATCCTACAACCGTTAGCTGCATCTAAGGTGGAAACCGTCAATTAAATAAATTGTTACAGGTCTCCAGTATTAACGTATACAAAGGAAGACTATGTTCATTGGCTTAAACTTTGACAATTGTCATATCCAGCCAATGCATCCGTGCGCTTCCGATATGTACTCCTTCGGTTAAAAGGCCGTATAATAAAACAAATGTTTGCGTATTTGACACATTTTTAGACATATTTCTAAATATATAACGTTAGATTTTTAAAAACGATTCTTTTACTTACTTCCTGTTTTTTAAGTAATTAGCATGATAACGTAAAAGCTATTGATGTTGATGGATAACAGTGCATTTGCATTGCAAATACATACCAATTTCCGAAAAAAAACCACCACCTTTATAAAAAACGTTCTTGCAATCAAACTCCAAGGGATTAAGGGTAGGGAATAGATTGTTTCTTTGTTAGAGTTATCAATGTAAGATAATATGATTTTGAACGAGTACAAATTGCGATATAAAGGCATATATCAAATATGTTAAACAAAATTATAGCAATATGATGAAACTTGAATGATAAATTTTCACGTAAAATGCGCATGCAATAACACAAGAACAAATTAAAAAAAATCTTTTAATGTAAATTGCCATTTCCAAGAGCCATTTCATATTAATTTCTGTAGCACAAAAGATTGACCTTGAATATTTAGGGCATATGTGAATATCAAATATCAATATTTAAATGATTTCACATTAAACGTGGGTTCCCACTGCTGCAACAATATTTATAAAAAAAACAGAGATAATTCATATCGTTTAAGCAGTAGAAATCCACGATAAAATTCGCTCGCCTTATATCCAACATAAATTTATATGTTGAATGTTTTACTAGCATGAAACAAAGCACAAGATGAATTATAAGTACAGATTTTTTAAATGTTGCGTCATTAAATTTACCATCATCCATAGTATTCAAGAGTAGCAGAAAAAATTATACAAGCAATACCTCAAATAAAATCATTTTTCAGATTCATTATGATTGGTGTTGGTTCCATAATAATTACTATAACTTAATAAACATATTTCCAGTATAATTTTCACATTTTTATTATTGCTACGCGTAAGTTTCCACTGCGGTAACACTGTCCAAACACTTACTGTACTTTCATACTTTAACTATAAACCGGAAATAAGAATACGATTTTGTACAAATGTTACGGCAGTGAAATTTTACTGTAAAATCATAAGCAAATTTACCAAAACAGGATAAAAAATGAAAATGATTTTTCTAAAAATGAATGAGAAATTATGACACAATTGCAATATACAAACGGAAAAAAGCATGTTTTATATATTAAAAAGCTGTATGTACCATAAATTCTTTACCACTTTTATATAATAATAATATATCTCAAAAATTATCTGTAACAGTCAATAACGTATTGTAAGTGTTCCTTGTTTTGTATTCCCAGAATTATACTACGATTAGTATTCGGTGTATTTCTGTAAATATATGTGTGTGTGTGTGTATATATATATACTTATATAATAATACATAAATAAATGTAATGTAATGAAAATAATTCATAAATATAATAATTATTTAATATTAAATGTCTCCGTTGAAAAATTGAAAGTTTCGTTTATTGTTAAGAATTTTATTACATATACAATACACGACACAATGAATATTCAAATATTTAAAACATAATTTTCGTATACTACAAAATGTGACACTGAAAATTTCAAAATTCTCCGCTTCCACTTTAGCTATATTTTCTGAAGTAAAACTTACAACACACTTTATGGGAAATAAGTATCAGTAAATGTCATAAATATTTATTTGTAGTGAAGATCTTTATAGAAAATTTCATAAAACCAATCCTAAGACAACGTTACAGAGGTTAATAAAAATAACATAACTACGCAAACTAACATTAATACTTTGAAGAATCACTATTGTTTTCTATATCACAGGAATATAATAATAATAGTAGGCGTTTTTTTTATATAAAAATTAAATTTTAAAAATAATAAATTAACATATAATATTATGTATATTTCAATGAGAACATATATAACCTGATTCTATGCAAATTCCGGATATTACTTTTAAAGGTTCACATTGAAATGATTTTAAACCATATTCGCGATCCGTTGTCTAATGAATTATCTTATTTTAATAGAAACAACAATAATTTCTTCAAAAATATGCTTTTAAACAATAACAATAATAGCATGCCTCAACAAATAACTGAAAATAAGTCTTACAATTACAAAAAGGACCTAACATTGAGTTTTACCCATATATTCAAATATATGTTTTTCATTTTAAAAATACATATTTTTATTTTTCAATTTAATTTTCTTTTTGTCAGACTATAGCCATATTTATCCTATGTACGAGATTCTTTTATTTAGTAACTTATCAGCTCAAATATAATTAATTTCCTCCTGTAACTAATTCAACTGTTTAACAGCAAAAATTCGTAAAAAAATGCATCAGTCGCAACAAATGTAATGAAAATGAAATTTGTATTTTTTTTTGGATTAATAAAACTTTGGTATGTACTTTTTCGCTTAGAAACATAAGGTTTGTTGTTTAATGTTTGTTTAAATTTTGAAAAATAATCAAAAAGAAATATAACGACATGACAAAAAAAACCCTATGCTAATTTAAAGAGATTCATTTTGGTAATAATTTTTGTAATATAAATATTAGCTTTATACATGTTAGAATTTGAATGTATTCGATGATCAGGACCTAAGAAGGTATTAATATATAAAAGTTATACATGTCTTTTACAAGAAAACGACTAAAACAACTATGTACTTAAAAATATACTATACTACTACTATTATAATAAAAAAAAAATCTTCAGCTGTTGTCTACTTGTATGAGTTTTACTTTATCAGCTGCTCTTTCGATTGTTTTCTATTCTTTAAAACAGATCCCCCTGCAAATTATATGGATCGTTAACCTAATATATGATAACTAACACATAATTTTGATATACGACATAAAAAGAAATCTATTCTTTTAGGAATCATGAAAGACAATATCAATATTAAGTAGATTCTAGAATTAACTTCGAAAAACTTTAACGTAACTTAAAAATATTTAATGAGATTAAAAAAATAAATGCTAGAAAAATTTATAACGATTTTGTACTCTTATATTTAACGTTTAAATCAAAATGAAAAACGCAAATTGAAATGTATTGAAAATTGTTTAGTCGTTTGCATCTGCCTATCGTTCCTATGTGATGGAAGAACCAATCGATTATAATGTACTATTTGTTATGAGCATTTTGAACTGATTTATATTTAATGGAATATATGTTCGGATCCAAATGTTTTTGAGTCAGAATTAAAGTGGTAAAGAATTTAAAGGTAAAACAAGAAATGTGAAATTTACACCAGATTTATATTGTTAAATAATAAACTATTGTAGTGATGCAACAGAATAATTTTAACTACGAAAGGCAAACATAATTTACATGTGATACTAATCGCGCTTGCAACGTAAAACATAAATTTTAACTGTCTACTTGCATTCACTTTAGTACACTTATAATATCTTGGAATAATTCGTATCGATGATGATGACAAAATGATCGTTAGATGAAACCGTGGTACTATAGCACCCGTCACATACGCTAGGTAGCCCTAAATTAAAAAAACAAATAACTTGTACTGACCGATTTCTTGTAAACTTTCTTGAGTCATTATAAAATAAACTAAAACGTCCACACTCACGTATTCTTATTCCGGTGACTTTTTTTCAAAAAGAATTGCCTTAAAATTATTATACAGACAACACAACAGCTAGATATTAATTTTTATAATTAATATTTTTGCAAAAAGAGCTGCTGCCATTTTACATTTAACAATAAGCGAAACGTTGATAGCATCACAAAAGCTTAAATTTGTTTAATAATTTACAGCTACAAGTGACGAGGACTATACACATAAAATAAAGGCTTCTCTTCTCGCTTCTCTTCTTTGGATTAACGCAAAATGACCACTTCCTCGGTACAATACAAACATTTAAAAAATGACGACAAATCTTCAACTTCATGAATGATAAACCAACACCGTTATAAGTCATTTCAAATATCTTGGCGGCACTAAAATTCGCGCGAATCGCTGCGCCACTCAATTTTATGTATAGCGGAGCGTAACGGGATGCAGGGGGAGGGCATTACGCGCCGATGACCTTGAGCATCCAAGATATTTGAAAAAGACTAATACCCGACCATCACCTTAATATCCTAACCAAATATAAATACTGTGTTACAGTAAATACATATCACATGAACCTCTTCAAGTCGAACTAGAGTGAAATTGCAAAAATCTAGTTATAGAATTTTTGTTTGTATTCGACTTGTAGTGGTTAGGATTTTATTAACAGACGTAATTCATTTACAATTTCGTAATATTATACACTACAAATGAAAAATCGAAACAATAGTAAAATTAAAAAAAAAACCTTTTCTTCAATATATTGAAGTAGTCTGACCAGGAAAATAGAAAACCTCGCTATGTTGCGCAAAACTTCGACTTAACCACAATAACCACTAACCACCACACCATACTAACTACTTGTTAAGGTCACAATAATGTAATTTAAAAAATTCGCTGCATGGCATTGCCAATTATTATAATTGGGTGTAATTTATTAGTTCGTAATAATTAAATGTGTTAAAATATAATAAAAACAAATAACGGAGATGAAACATATTTAAGCATTTATGAGAGAGTAAGAAAATTAGCGAATTTTATTTAAATTAATGTTAATTTAAAAAGGGATCAAACGGAATTGTGGCCTTCATAACAGGTTTTCGATTATCCTGGTCAGGCTATAATTCGTTTCACAATGATCAACATATAAATTATATTATAAAGTATTAAAACAATGTCGGAGATACAGAGATCCAATTTACTGTTTTTAAATTAATATAGGTAATTATGTACAGAATTACTTGGTATTCGGCTGGGATTGTTTAAAAAAAAATGGAGGTTTTGGCTTAAAGGAGAATCATTTTTATAGTTTAGTAGCAAAGTGGTTCTATTGTAATATTACATAATATATTTGTGAAATATGCAATAATGTATGGAAGCTGTTTAAGGAATCATGAAACTAAATAAGATATATAATATATATACATATAGCACAGTAAATCAAATTGTAAATATTATAAGAGTATCGTTGTTTAAACTTAATCGAAACTAACATTAGTATTGGGAGATTAAACTGCAAACTGACATCTAGGATATCATATGAATACTAATAATTATTTTCTTATTCCGGCAAATTGAATCTTGCAACTAAAATCTTAAGGCTGCATGTATTTACATCTAAATCGTACATATTAATTAATTATACACATACATTGCTATATTTAAATATATAGTTATATTACAAATTTATTAAAAGATAATCATTTCAGAGAGATCAATGTGTAGATAAAACACAACATTAAAAAACGATTGTTAATGTAATATAACTTAGAAAGTTCATGACTAATTCTAAAATCTATAAAATACACAAAACTTATATTAACGCGTAAGAAGCTTAATCAACCAATTGTAATTAGGAAATGTTCCAAATGGCGCTGAATAATTTCAAATCTAATAGATTTGAAAGCATTGGTTTCATTAAACACAAATGTCGTTCATGATTCCTTCATTTTGTGGAAAGGCAAATTTAATTAGTAAATGAAGTTCACACCATTTCAAACAGGTGATTGACGTTAAAGCGAATTCCATCGCTTTAAGTTATGCAAAGCGTTATGCAGATTCGAACACAAATATTTAAAAAAATGTTTAATCATATCTCGTAAGGATCAATTTAAATATAGTTTTTTTTTATTAATTGGAATCCTTTTTATTGTCTATATATTGAAACAAATTTTTAACACAAAGGTGATAAAATACCCAGCTTTCCCATAAGTTGCATAACCCAATGCATGACCGTGCATAATTTGAGGTCGGCTCAAAAGTTGCATTCATAGATGTTTTGTTTACGAATATTATTACGTTAGAAATTTTCAAGCGGAATTGACGTTAGAAGCATCAAAATAGTGATAGCCTGGTTTTGAGATCCAGCGCCGATTAGGGTGAGGAATTGGGCTAAGATTTGTGCAACTGGAATCTAAAATGCTCGATGGATAAAACAAACAGCTATCACTATCTCGAAACATGCTAGTTATATATTCAAAATACATGTGAGCTTCGTTTATAGTTTTACAAAAATGATTTAATACAAACAGAGCTATATTATAACGAAGTGCTTTATCACTTACCTCCGTATCCCAGAAATGCATTGGGAGGTTATTAACCCCAGCCTCGTTAGTAGGATCAACAGATTGAGTCATCCACAGCATGTCAGGAGACTGAGCGCTCTGACGCCACAAAGTTTCCTGTTAATAGTTTACATATTTTACAACTTATATTTAGAAATAATTTAGTGTTTGTAATTCTTCGAAAACTTTTAATTTATACTTGGCTAACACAATGATACATTTTTATAAATAAATAAAAACAAACTATAGCCATTTTCTAACATTAATATTATTTTTAATGTTTTAATGACCTAAAATCGATAGATATATGCTGGACCAATTTTTGTTACCACAACATTCCACTGTCAAAACCTGCACAAAATCATAAATATAGTAATCCATCAAATTCTCCTTGAAACAGAGATATATTTTTCAACAGCCGCAGAGAAAACATATGTTACATATAACAGTAATAAACAACACAAGAAAATAGATAAATTAATTTACCTCTAATCCGAGTCCCTTGGGATTGAGTAAATCATGAGGTCCCTGGGTACGACGATCAAAAGTTGGTGGCGGGTATGGCGGCAGCAAGTCCTGTATACAAGTATTGTATATATTTTATCGTTTTACACATAACTAAATAAAAAACTTTAATCTTATATGTCAGTTTAAGTAAACAAACCCATATTTGGTATAGTACTTTGATATATTAAAACTGGTATGGTACTCTGGTACAAGAAAACCTCCAAGGTTAAAACTGTGGAATTTCACTGCAGAAAATATTTAAAAAAAAAGTCCATCATTGCCTACGAAAAACAATGATAAAAATGTATTTATAAGTGTTTGAGTATGATGTTTGTTGTCGCTGTGTGTAATATTTCGCATAATATAAAAAAGGAACTTACAATAGGCGCACCAAAGGCCATAGGGCCATATGAGCCAAGACGGCGCATGTTTACGTCGCAGGCACGACGAATCATCAAGTTGGAATTGAAAAAACCTGCTTTATACCAGTTGTACATATCCTTTGAAGAGAATGGACCATGCACATTGTACTGTAACAATTGAAAACATTACCTTTATATTATCTTTAAAAATCCAATATAATTTAACAGGTCTATTTTACTTTCTTTACTTTCAGGTCTTCATGTTTTTAATGAAATAAAACTAACTGTGAATTTAGATAGATTACGTCATTTTTTGTATACTTTCTTATTAATTTAATATAAACAGATTAAAAATGTAGTAGGAATTTGTATTTTGGCCAAATTTCCTAAACAAAAAACCTGAATAAAGACCTGTTAAATTGTATCGATTCAATCTTTGAAATAAAATATCTGTTCAAATACTTTTAGGATAATATTATTATTTTTTCCTAATGGTATTTATAAAGCGATTACTTGTTTACTAAATACTTTATATAAAGAATATATATAATAATACATAATATATTTATAATAAAATTGTTTCGGTTAAAATATTCTATATACTATAAAATAAAGGTGGTTCACATGCGACAATTTTTACATATAATTTAATTTTTAGTGCCTTATACTTCCAATGTATCAAAACTAATAACTTATGAGGCATAGTTAACGACACAATACAATACTGTTGAGATTATCTTACCGCCTCTCTTCCGGCCTTGTTTTGCGATAACAAAAATAAAACAATTTACATGGAGTGAGTTATATGAGTATCCACCTTATTCACAGACAGAAACACTATAAGTCTTGGGTTCAAATTAAAAAGGAATTTTTCTTTTTTTTTAAGACCTTGTATATTATTATTAATTTCATTAAATAGTCTGAGTTGCTTTGAAAAAATATTTATATAATATTTATATGAGAAAAGAGAACTTCTGATATAATGCTGTATATCACGTGTATATAAATTTAAGAAAGCAAAAGCCAAGCTTTCCATAGATCACATATTTGAAGCAAATTTTACTTAAATACTCTTTAACACATATAAGATAATGTTTAATATGGCAATTACATTGTAATTAATTTAATTTTTTTGAAGCATATTTGTGATTAGAGAAGAACCTTTAAAATTACAGAAACTGACTTCTGTATTCTGTCTTCTTCTCTGTCTCTTGTTCAGCAGTAGAAGAAAGGGAATTATCTGTTGTAAAAACAAATTACAGATATTAAATACCTGAGGGTCTTCATAGTACCACTGGTCCATAACGTTCAAGTTATTTTGAGGAGATTGGCCTCCAGGTGGCATCATGTTGTACATAGAGCCATATGCTGCTTGCTGCTGCCCAGCTTGATACATCTCAGCGCGCGCTCTATTGAAATCATTCGCCGCTTGCATCTACGATAAACAAAATAACCATAATATTACAACGGTTTCAATTGAATACATTTCATATCAACACAAAAAATTATAATTCATAGTTTAGATATCATTTTTTACAACAACTTTGTTAGAAGGTATCTCCAGAACGACTGAATGAATCTCGCTAAAATTTGGCATAGATGTAGTACATAGTCTAGAAAACATAGGCTACTTATTTTAATTCCGCACGAACGGAGTTGCGGCCTATAGCTAGTTTATACACAAAACTGTATATCTCAATATATTTAAATAGGTTTAAGGAAGTTATGTCACACCACAGAGGTATATACAATATGAACAATCTGTGATAACAATATGTTTTGTTCATGTATTTTTGTGTCAAAGATTTACGATGTGCCATTTAATTAACTATTCTTATAGAAAAATCATATAGAATCTAACTTACTGAATTATTAGGCTGTACCATGAACAGCGAAGAGTTGTGAATATTTGAGCCACTCATCATTGAAAGACCAGTTTGTTGGTGGTAAGCGGACATCATAGAAGCATTAGCCTGCATATCTGCTGCACCCAAGCCCATAACACCTGGATTTTGCATCATTGGTCTGGAAACTCCCGGCATGGGAATGACTTGTCCATTTCCAGATGTGGGGAGACCCATTGCAGTATTCAAAGCTTGGTTTGGTACTCCGACATTTTGCAAGCCAGAACCCATTCTGGCTACTTGCATTGCCTGTAATGCTCCTTGCATTCCAGATCCGTCTCTTCCAGATTGCAGTTCCCCGGGATGCATCCCGCCTTGCATAGCAGCAGATTGTAATCCGGCCTGCTGCAGTAATGTCTGTTGTATGGCTTGAGCAGTTTGCATCCCTGGATGGATGCCAGCAAAGTGTATTCCGCCTGGCTGCATTGTATTATGTTGCATCCCCAATGATTCATACCCTCCACGCCCTCCAACGCCTGAATGAAGTTGCATACCGCCGGCTTGCATATTGCCAGCTTGCATGCCGCCGCTTTGCATACCGCCGGCTTGCATTCCGCCACCGTGCATCCCGCCGCCTTGCATGTGGCCGCCATGCATTCCGCCGCCTTGCATGTTGCCAACATGCATCCCCCCGCCGTGCATTCCGCCGCCGTGCATCCCGCCGCCGTGCATTCCGCCGCCTTGCATTCCGCCGCCGTGCATTCCGCCGCCTTGCATTCCGCCGCCTTGCATTCCGCCAGCTTGCATTTTGCCAACTTGTATTCCCCCGGCTTGCATGATTTTTAAACCACCAGCTTGCAAGATACCAACTTGCATGCCTCCAGCTTGCATACCGCCAGCTGGCGTACCGCCAGCTTGCATGCCGCCAGCTGGCATGCCCCCAGCTTGCATGCCACCCATGGACTGTCTAGGTGAAGGTAATGGTATGCTGCTACTTGGCATTTGCGTGGGCACTTGCAGATCTGTTTGGTTGCCAGAAGCATTTGCGTTTGTTGATGCAGTTTTCGATGTTGATGCATTTGAATCATCCACAGTTAGGTTAACCATTTCTTCCGCAAGATTTTTAGATGCCGAACTATCATCACTAAAACAGAAAATTTTATGATAAGATATTTTAAAGAATCCACACTGAAAAAAAATTTTTATACCAAATACACTTACTCTTCATTTGCCAAAGAGTGAATGTGTTGCAAGATGGGCATTCGGGGCTGCCGTTGAGCATTATCATTTGTAGCAACAATATTCTGATGTTTCTGACGCAGTGTATTGTTAGTAGTAATCAGAACAGATTGTAGGTTTCCCTTTTCATCAGTCACTTTCTCCAAGTTAATATCCGAACGCATCAAAGCATCAAAAGTTTTACTCTCAACAAATTTTGATTTCAGACTGGCTTCTTTTGTGTCATCTGAGATATTGTCAGTTTCTTCAGTCTTTGGAGAAGATGGCGGTGCCTCCAAGGTCTCATTTGCATTGGTTTCTTCTGCCTTGATGTCGTTTTCTTCCTGTATGTTCTCCTCTTTACTTATTTTAGTAGGAATATTATCGTCACTTGGCATATTAGAAGCCTGAAAAACCAAAAGTATTTTACTCTCTTCCCTAAAATAAATTGACTTGTTTTATATGTATGAACCATACCTGTTTGAACTTCGCGTCATTAGGTTCAAGCTTGTTAGGTGATAGTTTTTTAGCCTTATCAGAAGTCCACCACTCTTCCATACCATTTGCATTTGCAGGAATTTTTGTGTTGTGCACTAAACTTCCATGAGTTAAAGAACGTACCAGTTCTGAAATTAAGATGTATTATAAAACAGCTAGAATAAATCTTACAAATATTATAATAGTTTAGATCAATGATTGGATGGATGGATGTTTGTTTGAAGGAATCTCCAGAACGGCTGAACTCATATCGTTGAAATTTCGCATAGATTTAGAGCATAGTCTGAAAGAACACTTAGGCTACTAGTTTTCTTTTTTTTTAATTTCGAGACGGCGAAGACACGCGCGGCACGTAGTTGCTCATAAATATGGAATTCATGAAATACAGTTTGCTTAAAAAACATAAACCACTTACGAAATGACGATGATGACTCGGAAGTCTTGGGTATGTTTGTGTCGTCGTTACTGTACCCATGAAAAGCTCCAGTGGAATCGAAAGTCCCAGTTCTTCCCACCGCATTTTCGACGGCCCTATAAGAATTCTTATGTTGAATTTCATACATTAAGCACACACAATGTACATTATGTATTTGTTTGACATGCAACTAAATAAATACATTTTAGCGGAATTTTGATTAAGTATGTTAAATTATCTCACCAAAATGTGAATAGTCCACCAAATTAGATAATCTTTTATAAAAACACTAAAATATTATGTAACGCAAAAAAAAGTGAAACATTGCTGATATCAATTACTCTCTTATAGGCTATAAACTAACCACTCCGGGAGGCTTTCTTCATTGCTGGCCTCCCCCACCCAACCACTGCGGTTCGAGTTCCATGTGGACTGTTTCCCTTGAGGTCTTTCTCCCCAATCACGTTCTGAAAACGAATTTATCTATTGTTGTTGCAACACGATACTAGATCTGCTATATAGCGTTGGATGCTACAGTAGGGTTACGATGAACAATTGACCTTTCCAACAAAAAAATAATCATCGATTTTGTTACGTATATCAAAAGCTTTATTAACACGCTGAGCGCCACCTCAGCCATCGGTGGCTGACACTAGACTTTCCGTTTAGCATGTTTGACGCTCAGTGACATTTGAACTGTAATGAACTGATTTGTCGTAAAAAGAACAACGGCCACGAATCCATTTTATCTGAGTGGACTAAGCGGTAAGAAAAACAAAACAGACTTGGCGCGTAACGTGTTGAAAATAAGCCTATAGGTATAACGTTAAAAATGTAAACTATTTTGTACTGCGATCGGACACACCGGCCCTTCAATACCAGTCTTAGCAATACGCGTGGCGCTCAATGTCGTAAATAATTCGAATGTCATTGAAAAAATCTTCAAGACTTTTCTAATGAGTTATAACGATTTTATAAGTAAGAATGACGGCTCTCTCAATAGGCGTCTTCGTTATTTCGTGTGACGCACGCTGTATACTCCGAGAGTGAAGACATTCAATATATAACAATAGACCGGGTGATATATCAAAGACTTGTAAAGTTTCATACGTCTGGACGTGTCGCTGAATTACTTTTACTTCATTTATCGATGTTGTAATAAACTCCTTCTGATGTTAAGTAGTTTTATTAATAAATCTATACGAATAAATAATAAGTAACGAAAATAAATGATAATCTGTTCCCAGACCCTTACCTACTTGTTACTAAAATTATTTTTATACATAATTATGAAATTATTCGAAAAAAAAATATTACATTGTATTTATATTGTGTATTTTTGTAACATTAACAAATATCACTGTTTAATAAATAATGTGTACTGTCTACTTTTAGTTAGCTCTCTATTTCAGTAACGTCGCATTGTCGTCTGCGACGTGCAATTTAGTGTAGCGTTACGACTTTATAATTTGCAATAACTTTGTTAAAACGTGAAAGAAATAAACAAAACATACTTTATGGAAATGAACATGATCTTTCGATTTACGACGAAGTAAAAATTTACTGGAAAGGTCAATTGAACCTGGTAGCAATACACAAACTTTAACAACAAGCAAAACTGGTTCTCGCACGTTTGCTAACATGCCAAGATGCCAAGTTTATACTATTTTTTAATTTCATTCATCTTATTTACCGGCATTAGGACGATTCCTTGACCTCCATTCATCTTCCTCCCGTGAATGCTGTCTCCAATTAGTATTATTATTGACTCGTCTACAACAAAATGTTTATTCATAAATAAATTTAGATATTTATAAGAACACATTACTTGTTAGTAAAATGAAAATCTTATTTAAATGACAATATAACAAGTGATTCTTTTATACGTAAAAATACGAAAAACGGAATCTCAGGTTGGCAACAGAGGAGTCAATTCGCGAACGTCAGCTAAATATTAGCTAAGAAGACGTACCTTCGGTATACCTTACTCCCAGACCTTTCATGTTGCTCAACGTGAGATCTTGGTGGTGGAGGTTGTGGTGTGTTACCATTATTTCCCCCCCAAGACAAAGCAGTATTAGCTTCAAAGGTAGGGTGATAAGTTGGGGGCCCTGTTTTTTTTTGGGCCGTATTCCATATTACACCTCTGTAAATAAAATATATATACTTTTTAAATAAATGATGTAAACAACCACTAATTACATTTGTAATGATTACTTATTGTTATATTGCTATATAAATATAAATGAAATCACCTCAATATTATTATTGCGCCTTAACCATAAGTGAACAACAAAAAATAGCACGTGTTTCCCAGCATAAACCAATAACCATTTTACGCATTTTATTGATAGTCCAAGTTCGAACTTGAACCGCTTTTCGGATTCTTAACTCAAAAATCACTTGATAAGTATATTTTTATTTGTTATGATATCCAATCCAGCAGACCAATTGGCACATGTGACCAAGTAAGCGCAGCGAAAGGCATATAGCGTTTGGTATTGCAGATAAATATTATGTAAAAATATTTACACAATCACATATATTTATTCATTTTCACATATGAACATAAAAATGCAACCGTTTAATATTAGTATTGAAAAAGTGCACCATCACCATTTATTAATTATATTAAAAAGCCTATTAAAGCATGCTTATATGACACTAAGATGAGTGAGTCAAAACAACCACCACAATTTTAATACACACAACACACATACATATTATTGAATTATAATCAAACAAACAATTTACAATACCTGCCTGTATATTTAAAAACGTGTTTAAATATAATATTGCCTATTAAATTCTAAAAATATATTAAGTTCATTCAGTTGATTTGAAAAAGTTATTAATATAATTAAACTAATCATTTACATTTTAAATCTAGTTATATAATCTAGGAATTTTGTTTTATTCAAATGTAATTTTTATCCAACTGTTATTAGATAAAAAAAGAAACAATCAGATCGTGTTTCAATAAAAGTGCATTTTTACCCACCTGATGCAGTTTAACAATTGACATATCACTGGACTTATGTTCTGTGTCATATATCAATCATACAGGTGGGTAATGAGTTTGCCCATGTAAGTTTTGATGAAATTTTGGACAAAAGACACTGTCGCTATTTATTTTGCATTTAATTTATAAAAAAAATCGTCAATTGTTTTTTTATGCATTAGAATATGTTAAATTGAATATCAAATGTATTATTTTCCTTACTTTCCAGATGAAGCATTCCGAGGAAACGGTGTGCGAGTACGCCGATTCTCATTGGGAGAGGTACGGTTCAAATTACGCCCTGAAGCAGCAGGTTTAGCTCCGCGGGTATTCTCCCGTTGCTAAATAAAAAAATTGAATGGTCTCTATAAGTTTTAGCGCGTTATGTCAGGTACAGATGGATAATTTTGTAATTGTATGAATTCATTTTAAAATTTAATCCCATCCCATTTTTTGATGCTATATGCTATGCTTTATATAGTAAGTTTTATCAAACTATTTCTAGTAAGCCTGCAGGACACAAGTAGAATCAGATTTCTTTTCAAAAATGAACTACTTGAGCCTACTTTTTTTTAAAAATATGGATTGAAAAAAATTATATGCAAATTTTACCATTTCTTCTTGAAAGGTGTTATTTAATGCGACAGGTGGCTTTCGCCTTTGTTGGTACAACTGATCAAAGTACTTTAACTGTTCAGGCGCATCTGTAGTTCTTTCATACAGAGCTAGCATCTCTTCCCTTCCATACCTGAAAAAGAGAGCAATATAGTAGGATGGCAATTTTGTATCTTGCTCTAGTTTGTATGCAAAACATACCCGAATCTGTCGGAACATCTAAATCTTCATATGTTCACTCTTCTTGTCAACAA